TATCAATAACAATGAATGGTTGAAAGCCTGAGCTCTTTATCCATTTTTTTTTTAAATTAGCCGGCTTTTCACTATGTAACAGAAATTCTAAAGAGATTTGGTTTACAGTTAGAATTTACTTGTATAGCACTTACCACATGTGCCAAATGTTTTTATTTTATTGGGCTTATTGTTTCAGTCTCTCAAGTTTTGCTTTTCATGTTTAATTTTTATCATGGCAACCTGTGTCCCCATCAAAAAGGGAAAACTTGCATCATGACAATATGCCATTTTCATAATTTTAACAAAAGTTTTAAAATCTGTGGACAACTGCTAAATAAGAATCTATCTGCATTTTAATCAAGCTTAAGAGTAGAACCATAAAAATTAATGAGGCAATTTAGTAATGCCTACCATATTCCCATGACATTAAAGAAATTTACTCTGTGCTATATTAGACCTGACTTCAACCCAATTGATGGGATGTTGAATACAAGTGAATTACTGTAAGGTACAAGATCTATTTCTATTGATTGCATTCATTTACCTACAATACGTTTCGCAAAGGATTGCTATGACATAGTGTTGAATGATAATCTTCTTGAGATGAGCCTTAAATTTTACTTAGATTATGCAGGATTTATATTTTCAGGGAGCAATGAATATGTATGCGTCATTAACACACTCAATCCCAAAAAGTATTTTGTGGTAGACTTTCTGTAAATCATAGAATGTATTTATAATGCTTTTGACTGTATTTTTATAAAAGGAAAGTATTGAGTTTTATAAGATGCCATTTCATTGATTTTCATAAGATGCCATTTCACGGATGTATGATCAATACCATATGTAGACAATGAGCCGTCTCACTGCATTTCCAAAGATTGCTAGTGATAGTGTTATTATTTGAAGTTTCTTTTCAAGACACTGAAAATTTAGTCAGTTAAGCCTGCAGTGTTTCTCAACCTTGGCAACTTGAAGATGTCCGGACTTCAACTCCCAGAATTCGCTGGCTGGGGAATTCTGGGAGTTGAAGTCCAGACATC